TGCAATCCAGACTGAAAGGAAATTTAACGATTTTTGTTTATTACATATATTATTTTTATGTTTAGAAATCCATTTACTCTAATTTAACAGCCTAAAATCGTCTTTGGTTATGGACAAAAACATACCTTATTTCTAAAATTTATAAAATTTAACTTCAAATAAAAAAAATTTTTACTCTTATAGAATCGTTATTTTTTCAAATATATTAGATTTCATGTTTTAAAAAAATCTTTCTTAATATAAAATAAAAACACTTTAAATCAAAAAGAATTTTCAACAAAGATAGGCTAAGTGGTAAACCAACTGACTATATCAAACATTAGGTAGTCAATAAGGTTCCGAGTTCAATTCCTAGACTAGATTACCAAATATCAATTCTTAATTAAATTTTAAATACTGTTTTTTAAAGAATTCTAATATTGATTGCCCTGACTAAAATATATAAAGTTTTGTTTGCTTCTATACATATATCTAAAATATATAAAGCTTTGTTTCCTTCTTCTTTAGGAATCACGACTACTCACGTTCTATTGGACTTGCTGGCCTTGGCGGGGGCCAAGATTTCGCTGAGCTCCATGTAGTTGCCGCGGGACATCTCCGCCATGGACGAGGCCAGCTGGGCGGTGGCTATGCGACTGTGCTCCCTGGCCAGCTCCTGGCAGCTGCGGCTCTGCTTCCGGTGGCCGCACTCGCACTGCACCTCCACCAGCTCCTTGCAGGGCGTCTCCGGACAGGCGGCCTCGTGACAGGCGGCGGCACACTTGTGGCCACAGAGCGAACGCGGCTTGGTGCAGCTCTGGCGACAGATCTCGCCGGTCGACTGACAGGCGCCCTCGTGGCAGGGCTTGATGCACTTGTGGCGGCCACAGGGCAATGGCTTGCCACAGGCCAGGCCACAGCTGAAGTTGGGCTGCGAGCAGGGAATGGTCTTGCGCTGCTCATGGTTGCCGTGGCAGAATTTCGTGGTGAACATCATGCAGGGCGGACACGTGGCCGCCGAATGGCAGTTGTGCTGCGGCGGATGCTCGCAGGGATGGGAACGCGAGCAGGGACGCTTGCACAGTGGCTTCTTGGTGCCGCACGGCACTGGCGGATAGATGACCTCGGCACCGCATTCGCAGTATAGCTCCTCGAAGCTGCTGCGATAGCAGGGCGGACAATTGCCGCGGTGGCAGGGCTGATCGCACTTGTGCTTGCCGCAACTCAAGGTTCGGTTGCAGGGCAGCGGACAGGCATGATCGATGTCGATGCAGCACTCGGCATTGCACTTGTGCTTGCCACAGCTGCGCTTCTTGGTGCAGCGTCGCTTGCAGCGCGCATCGTCCGCCCGGCTGGACAGCTGCCGGCACTTGATCATCTGGTCCATGTGGCCGCAGCGGCACTTCACCGCCGTCTGTTTGGGGCACGGCGGACACTGGCCCAAATGGCACTTGCTGCCGCACTGGTGCGGATGCGCCGGTTTGCCGCAGCGCAGCGTCCGCGAACAGACGCCCTCGCAAGTGGGTATGGGATCCAGGCAGCTGGAACGCTGGGCAGCCGGCACGGGCATCTTGCCGCAAGGACAGCTGGTTATCTGCTCGGGACTCAGCTTGCAGGGTCTGAAAAGGTGAGATATTTATCAGATTCATGGGTTATATTTTATAGTATAGTAGTAAAAAGTAGGAGAGACCTGACCGCAAAAGCTTTTGTATAAGTTTAGCATACAATTGACTTGTATAAAAGCGAATGATTAATGTCTTAAGGGAGCCATGTTTAATGCGCATATTTTAGGAAATGGTATTCAAATTTGGTTTGTTTGTTTTTTCCTGACATTTCTACGCCTATATATAGTGTCTCAAAGGCAAATTTCTCAAATTAAGAGCGCAATTTTTTAAAAATTGTGTATGATCAGTGATCACTTACGGAAAATAGAATTTATCATGAAATCAGATAAGAAATACAATTAAAATTGATTATGTTTGAATTTTTGGAAGAATTTATATAAGTAGTTTAAATGTTATTAATAATGAACTGAATGTATTTGGTAACAGTGTCAAATAACTCAAAGAAAAGTTCCCAAACTACCATTCTTCTAATTTAGGAATACAATTAATCATATTTTTGATTAAAAACAATAGTATGTGATTAAATGGTTGTTAAGTTAAGTAAGTAAACAACTTATCTTACCTACAACTGCCGGCGTGGCAGGAGTCCTTGCACTTGTGGTTGCCACAGGGCAGCGGCTTGCCGCAGCTCTCCTTGCACGAGTAGCTGCGCTTGTCCTGGTTCTCGCGCGTGCACGGCACCTGGCGCTCCTGCTTGCCGCAGTGGCAGTGCTGCTCCACCTGCTCGGGACAGGCGGCACACTTGCCCGCGTGGCACTCCGCCCGGCAACGATGCTCGCCGCAGTTGAGCGCCTTGTCGCAGATCTCGCCGCACAGCAGCTCCTCCTTCATGGCGCACTGCATGGTCTTGGAGCTGCGTCCGCAGCCGCAGCTGCGCACCACATTCGCCTGGCACGGCGGACAGGGGCCGGGATGACAGAGCAGGGTGCAGGCATGGCTGCAGCCCTCGATGCGGCAGCAGACCTCGCCGCAACTGTGGGCCAACTCCGTACGCGACACGGGCGGGTTCTTTAGCTTGCCGCAGAAGCAGAGGTATTCGCGCGGCAGCTCCTGCAGCACATTCTGGCAGGCTGGGCAACGCCAGCCCACCTCAGACTTGGAGCTGCTCGCCCAGGTGATGGTGCACTTGAGGTGCAGCAAGTGGTAACAGTTCTGACACGACCACGTCGGCTGATGCGCCTTGATCGCCTCCACGCACACCAGACACTCCAGTCGCCGCTGTTCGATGTCGCGTATCAGTTTCTCCCGCTGCGACAGCTTCTCGTTATCCGCCGGCGGCGGTGGCGGCAGCGGCAGCGGTGGCTGTGGAGCCCGTCTGGGGGAAATCTGCTGCTGCTGCTGCTGCGACTGCTTTTCGGGCGACGGGTGGGCACTCTCGTTGCTCGTGTCCAGATCGTCGACGGCCCTGGGATAGCCATTGATGCGATCCCTGTTGCGATTCCAGTCATCCCTGCGTTTGTTGCTACGATGATTGTCGTAGCGTTGCTGTTTCTGCGGCCTCCGGCGATCGTTTCTCTCGTAGCGATCCTCTCGTTCCCGTCGATCCTCCCGATCGTCGCGGTAGTCGGAGCGCCGCTGCTGACGCGTGCTTCCAGGACGCGAATCCCTGTCCCGATCCCTCTCGTAATTGTGATTCGCACGGTGGCTGTTGGCCCCCCTTTCCGCAGTTCCATCGGCTTGGGCCAGAGCCCGTGGTCTGGTCTCATTCATGGCAGTCTCCACGCTGGCAGTGCTGTTCCCGTTCGTCGTGGCTGCCGCCGGAGTCTCGTCCAGACTCAGCTTGGCCAGACTGGGCACAAATTCGGGCGCCGAGGCCTGCAGCTTGGAAGCACTGAAGTCGAACGGATTGTTGCCAAACGGCGTGTAAAGATTCGAAAAAGTGCTGCTGCTCGGGTTGCCCGATCCATAACTGTTGGTGAATGCGGCGCTAGCGATGCCATCGCCATTTTGATACGATGCGAAGATGGGCTGCGAGTAAAACTGTGGAGTGAATAGGGATTTTATTTATGTATGTCAATGATCAAGGCCTAAAAAGGAATATTAATAACTATAAAGGATGTAAATTAAACTTGTAAACAATAATCCAAAAATCGATATAAATGTTTAGTTATTCCAAAAACATGAATGCCAGTTGTATAGTATGGTAGTTTGGTATGAAAGTATTGTGATAGTTTCATATTCATATCTTTGATTGGTAGGAATATTCAATAAATAAATAAATCAAACAATCTTCTATAAGGATTTAATACAAACATCTTTGAAGTTATCATAAGCCGAATGACTCACATTTGAAAAGCTGTTGGAATTCGCTGATGCCGCTGGTGGGTTGAGGCCAAAGGCTCCTCCGCCGCCGCCGAGTGAGTAGTTTGTGTTGTTGCTATTGTTGCTGTTGTTGGAGCTAATGCCACTGATGCCCAGCGGATGTTGCATGGTGGCTGCGGCATTGGAGGAGGTCGACCCTCCGCCCAGATTGTGCTGCATGATGAACTGATTGAAGTTCACATAGTTGTTGTTGCCGCTGGTGGCGGTTGTGTTTGCTCCACCCTCGTGACCACCATTGCAGGCTGCCATGGCGGGTGACTCACTGCCAGGTCCGGCTGATCCCGATCCCGATCCTGATCCGCCTCCTCCGCCGTTGAACACCTGCTGCCAGTACTCAGCCATAGGAAGTCCGGTGCTGGTCAGCAGCTCCTCCTCCTTCTCCACCTGCTGCTGCTGCTGTTGCTGCTGCTGTTGCTGCTGCTGTTGGTGCCTCCTCTTCTCCGGCGGAATAGTCTCTTCCTGGCCGACGCTGGTTGCTGGGCATTTGCCAGCGCAACTCCGGATTTGTCCGCAATCCACGGAGGAGTCCAATTGCCACTCACTCAGCTCCAGACACGTGTGCAGTGATGAAATTATGCCAAATGGCGAAATTACCCGAATCGAGTGTACTGATCGATCGGATTTGGTGAATGGCCAATGCCGGCCTACTGGACGCCACGCCGCCGGGGTCCGCGGTCACTTTTTTGCTGGTTTTTTGGCGCTTCCTGCGTATTTTCCGCTCGCTTAAATTTATTAATTGCTAACAAAATTAGAGATGGTTAAATCACTAAGCAAAGGTTCGATTAATCGATATACATGGCAAGATGGGTGTGTGTACTTGCTAACTTTTAGTGAGACCGTCGCACAGTTGTTCTAAATTATCCAATCATTTGTTAGCCAAGACTCAAGCCATTAAAAAAAGGTAGTGTTCATAAATTCTAAACTATTTTAAGAACAATTAAAACCTCATAAAATTTTATTACCCAAATTAAATAATTTATTTTGATAACAATAATGTTTATTTTAAGCTTCCAGAATATAAAGTATTTGCGGCTATGGACTTAAGAACGGAATAAAATATCTTGTGAGTGAGAATTTTGTTCAAAATCCCTTTATTTTGTTTCAGCATAAGCTTTTGTCTCTGCGATATTACGGATTTGTTACTTGATGTTCACCGTGTACAGGTATATACCGATGATCAGGCCGTAGAGTCCCAGGACCTCGGCGAAAATGAGGATCAGAATCATGCCGATAAAGAGGCGTGGCTGCTGGGCGATATGGCGCACACCCACGTCGCCCACTTCGCCCACGGCGTATCCGGCAGCCAGTCCGGCGAATCCCACCGAGAGTCCGGCGGCCATGTGCACATATCCAGTGGGGAGTGTATACTTGGGGGACGGTCTCAGTTCACCAGAGAGCAGAACCGACACCACCAGGCCATAAATGGCAATGATTCCCGCCATTATCACGGGGATTATCGACTTCATGACCAACTCCGGACGCATTACGGCTGTGGCGGCGATGCCAGTTCCCGAAACAGCAGTTCCATAGGCTGCTCCCACCGAAGTTAGCACACTGGAAAAAACTACGCCCATCACTCCAAAGAATGGTGAGTACGGTGGACTACGATCCAGCATCTTAGGCGAAACTATGGATTCCTTTAGTCTTAAGCTTTCGATGATCCCGATGACGTTTAGATTCCCAGTTCCATTTCTCACCAAATTAAATTCATCCATTTTCAAGGCTTTATGTTTTTTCTAAGCACAAACTTAAACGAGATATGGTTATTATTACACGACATTTGTAATAAGACAACTACTTACGCTTTGTATTGCTAAGATTTGTTTAATGAATTATTAAGCCAGTAGTTTGTCATAAATTGAAAGTCAACTAGATTGGCAATATTCGGAGAAAAAAGTATATAGTCCTTAATAAAAAAGTGGGCTTGTTGGACCGTTTTGATGCAATTTATTTACCTTTTGAATATCTATATATAGCATATTTAAGCAGAACTTTAAAGCTTTCTAACCTTAGAGACTTTGATTTGTTTTCAAAGACTTTTGTTAAAATAGGCAACAATAAGTAAAACATTTAATAAAATAAATTATTAGATTTTTTTATTGACAATATTAATTTATTCCTATATTTATTATTTTACAAGATTTAACTATTTTCAAAATAGTATTTAAAGATTTGTTTCATATTATTTAAAAAAAATTATAATATTTAAACATACATGTAAAAAAGAGTGTAGCTTATAAAAATTCAATTATTGGCAATTTTATTTTGGTTTTGATATATGGACAATTCTTACTCAGTTGACTTTTGTAAAATAATTAATAAATTTAAAGAGTTTAAGTATTTTAAATTTTTAAATTTAAATTTCTATGCTACCAAATTTTTATGGTATACTAAATTTTAGAGAATATTTATTATAAGCTTCTTCTATTTCTTATAAAATTTAAAAAATGAGTGATAACAATGGAAGAACTATGCTTGGTAAGTGCTACAATTTTGGTTGACACTGCTCGGGTTTGGCGATCCATGGGTTCAGTATGTCCTGAGATTGCTGAACAGTGTTTGCTGAGTGGGCGGTGGTGGTGGTCCAGTTGGCAGCGGTCCAGGTGGTGGTGGCATCGCGAATGTGGGAGCCATAGGCATGGGCATGGGTACCTTGGCCGCCGATGGAAGGGCGGCGGAGGAGGCGACCCCGTCCAATGGACGATACTGGCACTTTTTGGCGTGGGTCCGCATATTGCTCGACTGGGTGAACGCCTGGTTGCAATTGGGATGCGGACAGACATACGGCTTGCAGCCGGTGTGGTAATTGAGGTGCGTCTTCAGGTGGTGCTTCTTGGTGAATGCCTTGGGGCATAGGGGGCAACTGAAGGGCTTGATGCCCGAGTGCAGACGATGGTGCAGGGTCATGTTGCTGCGATCGGCAAAGGACTTGCCACACACGGAGCACTGATACGGTTTCTCCCCGCTGTGCGTCCTCATGTGCTGCTTGAGGAGCATCTTCCTCGAAAACCTCTTTCCGCACTCATTGCATTTGTGCGGCTTTACGCCGGTGTGAATGCGAACATGCATATTGAAGGCCACTCGCTGGTTGAAAGACTTCGGACAGTACGGACACTCGTACTCCTTTCGGTTCCGGTGGATCTTCAGGTGGCTACTTAGGTAGCCCTTGTCGTTGAACGTTTTTCCGCATTCAGGACACTCGGCCGCAAATTCCTTGGTTCCCCGGTGAACGGACAAGTGGTACTTGTAGTTCCGCAGCTGGGAGAAGCCCTTTCCACAATCCGCACACTCGTAGCGCGGCGATTTGTGCGTCTTTTCATGGTTCTGAAAAGGAGATAAAACAAAACATTTAGTTCAGGTCAACAATGTGGTTTTTAAATATTAATAAAAATAGTAAGCTATATTTAAAAACTTATTATTTTTAAAACTACAAATTGACAGACAAATATATTTGAATTTTAAATTTTTAATAAGCTTAATATGTATGTGCAACTTAAATATTTTACTACAGACAACTTAAAAAAGACTAACAAACGTTTGTTATTGAGTCAGAAATTCTCAAACGGCGGCATAAAAATCTGCAAAAAAAATTTACTATTGTAAATTATTTGTATTTTTAACTAAAAAAAAAAACATAAAAAAAAACAATTAATTATAAGACTTTAAAGAATATGTTTTGAGTGGCTGAAAACGTTTTCACTTTTTTTTTTAAACTAGAGATTTTGTGTTTTGTTTTAGTATTATGTTTTTTGAAAATATTAGATGTTTGTGAAGAGCTAAGTTAAAAACTTAAATTTTAAACATTCGAGTATAACTGAAGCCTTATGTCAGAAAATTAATGCATTCAAATTCATAATAATTTATCAAAATAAGTTTAAAAATGTACGAGTTGGCAATTGAATTTGTTGTTGTTTTTCTCCGGGGCCATTTTGTGAGTGCCTGTCGCCTTCTCTTTCTAATATATAGAAATATACCTGGTAGCTGCGCCCTGCACCCATGCGTAAAACCAGTTCTCTCTCTTGGCCCGCTTCTGTTTTCGGGCCGACTCCATTTTGAACGGGCCGCGAGATTTGCATAATTCTCCGCCGCTCTCTTCCCCACTCCAATCAAATTGGATTCGGAACCTTTCCCTCCGAGGCTCCGCCTTCCCATTGGATCTCTCACAAGCCCCGCCCTGTTTCCCTGGCCAACTTGGTTGACCAAGAAACCCGTTTTGGGAGGATCGCGAATGCCTCTTGATTTCGAGGACTGGGTGAACGATATTTCATTTGATGTATGGCCATATGAAAGGTTAATGCTGTTCTTGCAATTCATTTAGGTTTGCATGTTCTCAAAGGAATTTGTTATCCAAAAATGTTAATAAATGATCACAACAATAAATATTAAGCTGGTGTGAGAAATTTAGATCAGAAGTAATACGTTAAATGTTTTTATAAACATGTTTCAGATAACGATAAATATTCCAGAACCGTTTGTAATGGCTAACTACTCAATTTGCTGACAAAAGCAATTTGTATTGCTTAAATGTTTTTGTTTTCGGCTGCTGCGGTTACATTTACTTTAAATTTAATTCTGCTTTGTTCCAAGGCTTTTAAAATAATTCCCGAAATTTATTTAAAGCAATTCTAAAATGTTTAAATTTTTCAAAAAAAAAACTTTTATTGTAGTTGATTGCAAAAAAAAGGATTTAGCTAAATTATTATTACATTTTTTAAAACATGTCCTTTTTGCAAGAGTAAACTATTAAATTATAGCAATTGTTTAATAACAATTTTGAAAACATACATTTATTATTATTTTTAAAACTCCAAAAATCGACTTTTATATATTTTTGCATAAAATAAATGCTGTTTAGAAAAGAATTTTAATAAAAAGCTGTTTTTAGTAAACTACAAATTATTTACTGAATCCTAAACATTTTACAGCTTTTATAATTTCGAAATTAAGAATCAATTCAAAGTGTTTTACCATTTCATATGTTAAAAAGAACCTTTGGTTGTAGGTATGTTAACTTATAATTATAAAAAAAAATAACAAATTTAGTTGTTAAACTGTTTAATTTATAATTGTTTTAGCAAATTGAACTGAAATTATTGTTTTTTGTCTTAAAATCTCACCTGCAGAGTTTCGGAGCATCCGAAGACCTTCTCGCATATCCTGCACTTGTAGCTGATCTCCTCGTTGGCCGTTGGATTGAAGCCAGCAATATTTGCGATTAATCCACTGTTGCTGCCGACGGTTGTGGCGACCAGACCTGCCGGCATCGTGGGCAGCATTCCGATTCCGACGGCACTCGACTGGTGCGAACTCAGGCTGAGATTGGTGACGGTGGTCAGCGAGATGTTGGTGCCGGCGGCGGCACCTCCTCCTCCAGTGGCTCCTCCAGCGGCACTCATGATCAGATCCCTGACGGGTCGGGCCACTGAGCCACTGGAACTGCTCACGGAGGAGGCGACGGGTGAGTTGAGGGGCGTGGCCTGCTTGTAGCCACCTGTGACCTGCAATCTTTGGTAGTAATCCAGGCACTCCAGGCAATCCGGTCGCGTGCAGGCGATGCTCTTTGGCCGTTGCATTGGCGCCTGCGATCCATTGATCACATAGGGTGCAAAGAAGCGTTTCTGTTGGTTGGGCAAATTCTGGGCATGCTGTTGTTGGTAGGGCGACGTGGGTGGTGTGCTCAATCCCGCTGCTGCTGCAGCAGCCGCATAGGCGGGCAGGAGATGCGGAAAGAACTGGGCATAGAACTTGGTGGCATTGGCCATGGCCACCAGATCCGGCGGCAGCATGGAGGAGTAGCCTGCTGCTGCTGCTGCTGCTCCGCCATAAGGAGATGATGGCATGGTGAGTCCTGCTCCACCTCCAGACTGAGTGCTCCTCAAGCTGCTGCTGCTGCTGCTGCTGCTACTCTTGGACAGATCCAGTATGTTTGTACCCACATCCTGAGCAGGTTTGCGCTCCTTGGATCCCAGGATCTTGCTTATGCTAAAGTCCGTGACTTGAGGGGGTGGCTGGGCGCCCAAGGCCGGGACTCCGTTGGTGGGCGAAATGCGCGCCGGCGAGGGCGACAGCTCGTAACTGCGCTGCAGCATGGCGTGCTTGAAACCCATTCTTCTCCACGACGGAGAATCACTATCACTCATAGACCGTTGGTCAATGAACGCACTGAAATAGCGATTTGGAGATGTGGAAACGAGGGAACTGTCGCGTTACGCGTCGAAACACGAAATGTCTTGGGCTCACGGCCCACAGCAGCCGTCATCATCTTTTTGGCCGGGCCTAAACACTGGCTTAAACCCTCTCAGCTCTCAACTCTCGGCTCTCGAATTTAATTGGTCGAGAAACAGGTTTCTCTCTATCTCCTCTCTTCTCTCGCTGTGTTAACTAAGTTTGACTGCTGGAGACAAACTGTCGCGCCTCCAATTACGAGAGGAGCTGCAATCTGCAGAACCTGGCCCAGAACCATTTGGTAGTAGCGTTCTACTAGTCACATCTATCATAAAGCTTATCGCTGCCCTCAGATCGCTTGGATCGCTTGGATCGCTCTTCGCTTCTCTCCTCTCTGTTTCTCTTGTTTTTTTTTTTTTTAGACCCCTGATAAAGTGACTAAGATTTCGTTTTGGCCGCGTTGTTTTTGTAATTAATTGCGGTAATAAAATGTGCGCATCGTTAAATTTTTGAAAATGTATTTCTCTTGTTCCTCATCCACAACCACAGCCGCATCCACATCCACATCCACATGCACATTCCCATCCGCATCCTCGTCCGATTCCCAGGCATGTGTGAATCTTACGGTTATGCGCATGCGCAGCGATCATCTTTCGAGGTGACTCGGCTCGTCACGATACCAAGATCAAGTGTGTGTGAGTGTGTGTGTGACTGTGAGTGTGGGAAGGAGCTGGTGGCCATAAGCTAGATGACATAATCCCTAGTAAAAACCCAGACGGGAGTACAGGAAGTTTGATATTTGTCTTGCGAATATAAAGTGGTGTTAAGTTAGCCTGATAAAGGATGTGCAAGCAGCCAAGCTATCCTTTCAATTATTCGTAATTAGTTTTAAACTCCTAAAGTAAATTAAATACCAGAATATTTATAATACCTAAAATTTGAATGAAACATTAAATACATTATAAAATCATTATATTAACTACAATGTTTAAACCCAGAAACAAAAACAATTGTAAATCCAAACATTTTCACTTTGAATTAATAAATACAATGTACAATGTGTCTTACAATTTAATTTTTATTTTTAAGTATGAAAAAATTGACAATTTTCCTATTGGTTAGCCCAATTAAATATATATATTATTTATATTTTCAAAAACCAATCTTACACTCAAATATTTATATAAAATAAATTTTTTATAATGATTAAATTTAATTTTATCAAATTCTTATATAATAATAAACTTTTGGGCGGTATGAAAAAAAACATCCCACATATTTGGCATTTTATTCAACTAAAAGAAGGACCTCTCTAAAAAAAAATACTTATACCTTTCCCGGCACTAAAATGTTATAGATTTAATAATTTCCTTCAATTTGGAATAAAATTGTAAGCCATTAATATTAATATAATTGCTTATTTTGGTCAACAAACTCAAACCATTAAACTTCCCCTTGGCAAGAGTTCTTCGACTTGCATAGCATCAGTAGCGACCATAAAAATGTGCAAAACAAAATGCTCCAAGCCAGGTGATTTGTGATTGGCTGAAACTCTCATAAATAACAAGGGATCCAAGCCGAGGACTCTGAGGATTCACAATGCGATGGGGTGAGATGGTGACACACAGCCAGAATTCCAGGGAGCTGCGGAAACAAATGAAGTGGTATACATTTACAGCTACATGGAATGGGATCCGCTGAAATGGAGCCAAAGTGATACTCACAAGGATGAGAGTTACCGCTCCTAATTGCCAATTACCGAATAGAGTTTCTAATGGCCGCGCTGGCACAATCTTGTCCACGATTTGTCCACGATCACTTACAAAACGATCTTATCGGTGGTAGGAGGGTACTCGTTCCGAAATCCCCACCCATAAAACCAGTGGCTAGCTAACCAACTACCACCGATCCTTCGGCCAGTGATTGATAATGGTTTGACTGTCAACACGCGCTGCTCGCTTCGCTTACCCACGATCTGCATAAATTTCGATTAAACAGGCGATTCGTTATAATTATATATCTTCGGGGTCCGAGAGAACAGCATACAGCAAACAGCAAACACCAAAAACTTGTTCAACCTCAAGAGTTGAAAAACTCTTTTTTCGTATTTCGTTTTTCGGCTCGACTGGCCTTTCGTGGAATTCTGCCCGATTATTTACATATGCGAAGCGAAGGAAACTTAAGTTTTAATTACACTCACTAAATCATCGAGCTCCTCCAGACTCGCAGAGACTTTGTTTTGTCGCATGACTAATGTTTATTAGCTGCTAATGGTTTGTTTTACAAAAGCTACGTGGTTGCCCCATGCGAGGATCCCCATTCCCATCCCACATCCCATTAAATCCCAGGGCATCTCATCTCCGTGGCCGTTTCAAAACTGTTTCACCCGTTGACATTTTGACAAATTTCCAACTCCTTACTACCGTCGTCGTCGTCGTTCTGGGTCCAGCTCCAATGTAAGCTGATACCTATCTCAGATGGCCAGATCTCAGACCGCCCCCGAAACCCCTTCAATGCCCATTCGACTCCTCTTCTTTGTTCACACTATTAATTTTCCGCTCGTTATTGTCGGGGATTGTGGATCTCCTCCTCATTGGGGTGGTCGGCATTTATCTTATTTTGTGTGCGTTTAAAACTTCTTTGTGGGGACCTCTTTAATGTCATGTGTTATCGGTTAATGATCAGCCGCGTTGCCAAGTGATTTTCTGTCAGCGGGTGATCAACTTGGCCAGCCAACTTGGACGAGCCTCATCTTCATCTCCCTTCGGATTCCATTTAATTGCCTTTGGTTGGTTGAACTTTTGTTCTCTTGGCTCTTTGGACCTTCCCAATCTGCGCCTTTTTATGTGTAGCTTGACAAATGTGTTGATTTCAGCGTTGGTCGGCCCAACATTTTGGCATTAAGATGGAACGACCTTTCTGGGGTTGCTGATTTCTCAAGGTGAAAATAAAGTGCGATTCAAATTTTTAAAGTTAGATTGTGCCAGGTAAAGTCGAAGGAAAAATTAAAAAAGAATTAAAACACAAAATTAATTTTAAACATTCAAAAATGGAAGCAAAACCTGTACTAACAGATGTATTTTTTCCATTACTTTTTATAAAATTAAAATATATGTTAACAATAAAAAAGAAAAAGACAAATTTTGGGTATGTGTTTGATATTATTGTTAGACATTAAATTTACTAAAACGTTTTAAAGATTAAATATCTATCCTTAAATTTTAATATTTGGCACAATACATAAAGCGAAACTTTAACGAACACAACGATTTTTAATTTTCGGTAACAAAACGTTTTTTTAAATTTTATAACTTACTGAAAAGTTAACCCGACTATAAAAGAACTAGCTAGTTTCCCCTGAACAATAAAGAAACCAAAAAACTTCTCAATTTCCAATACTCAAAGCAAAGTGCAAACTGTCATAGAAATGCCTGAACTCTCTAAGCAAATTCTAAAGTAACACCCACACCTTCGGCATCACAATAATCTAAACGCCCTACAACATTTATGTAGTATTTGTCGGGCAGCGGCAATAAAACTAAATCAGGGCCCTAACAACAGCATTTAGGAGGTGTTATACTATTGTCTACGTCTGCCCGACATATAATTTATATGGATGGAACAAAAGTTCGCCGAAAACGAGACAAAGACAAAGGAGAGTAGAGCGCGGACAAAGCGATATTCACGAATTATATATGCACGCCTAAGTATATATATATATATAGATCCAAAGTGGCTATATATGCATGCATGCGAGGCGTATGGCTCGGCGGTATTGTAGATCACAATCATTTCAATTAATTCGAATATAAAATACGAAGTGGAGACGAGGCGGCTTTTGCAAAATGAACCGCGTGCGCTCGAATATATCAAATTTCAATATAAATGAGCCACAAACATAAATCAAGGGGGGGCGACCCCTCGACCGCGGTAAACGTCTTTAGATTCCCCCCCTTATTGGACCCCCCAGATCGAAAAACACACGAAAGTGAAGAAACAAACACGCCCGAGATCGTTTGACTTTTAATGCATCCTAAAAAACAGAAAAAATACGAACCCACAAAAAACAGAAGACTAAAAAAACCCAAATTTAATGGACTGACGAATAGCTGTCAACGTCTCTTAAGGGAACTTTCCTTGCTGTTAAAATGTAATTTAATTTATTTTTACAACAATTCAAACGAAAACAAACAAGTAGACTGCGCGAGAGAGGGATAGGTGCCGAAAGTAAGAGGGAGGGCGATGCTAAACATTTAATCGGACGTTAATTATGTTAATGAAAACACATTTCAAATGCAAGAATTAAAATCAAATTTTTCAATTTAAATTCGATCGCATCGCATGGACCATTTTTATTCGAAAACACATTTCATTGGAATCCAATGGGTGAGCGGGACGGCGACTAAGTGTGCGAGCGAGAGCGCCAACCGATCTGCTTATTGAGAAATTGTGTGTAGAATAGGTATAAATCTTTAAACAAAAAAACAACAAACACACCTAACTGGGGAAAAATGTTACTTTGTCAAGGGGAATGCAAAGTTGTCGCCAACGCAAACTGGTTGTTTGGCGTTGCCGTTGTTGTTGTTGGATGTGTGTGTCCGAAATTGAACGATTAACTACAAATTTGAGCATAGATTAAACTACAATGACACAGAAAGAAACATTTGTTGGAGAAAATCTTAACAGTCATGGTTATGGCTTTAATATGTATAAAATAATAATTTGAGAATGAATAAATAGGAATATACATATAAAATATTTCTCATTTATGGTTCCCTTATATTTAAAGGGATATTTCATTGATATCTAAGAGATATTGCCTTTAAAATTAAAAAAAAAAATGTGTAAAAATTATATTTTAAATGATATACATATGTAATAAGATTTTCTTTAATTTATTTTACTGTGAAAAGTAGTTAAATGCAGCTATCAAACAAATGTATATACTCTTATTTGGATAACCGTATTTTTATTTTCATAAAATTTTAATTTTGAAAAATTTTAAATCAACGTAAAAATAAAAAATGTAATTCCACTTTTTTAAAAATACAGATATATACTTTCTCACAACTCCGTTTTCAGTCTGAACCTAGCCTAAAGTGGCAGCATAAAAAATGTTTGATAACAACATACTTTTTAAATAAAATCCATTTAATCAGTTACATTTTTTTTTTGTTAGTGCAAG